GATTTAAAGAGAAAAGACAAAGAAAGCCTGTGTTATTTATTCGCTATATCTTGCTCAGTTTGCACTATAATTCAGTTTTTTGACGTAAAAAGCTAAGATTTCATTCTCAGGGTTATTGTAGTTGTAATTTAGTACACAGTTACAAAATTGGATTTTTAACTCCTATAGTTATTCAAAAGCAGATGTCATTTTTAAAAATAAGAAACCCAAATAACTTCAGTGTATTTAAACATAAAAGTAAATTGTTAGTGCTTTATGGTTTTCAAAACATTTTCAGTTACACTTCTTATTGGTTCTTGGAAACATTCTATCATTTGGTCAGTATTTATGAGTATCTACTGCGCAAATTTTATTTTAAAAACCCACTACCTTGACTCTCAAATGTAAAGTAGGCTTCCTCGCATCATGGTGGCTAGATCTCAGAATAAGTGCAGCTCACTGAAAATATGTGATCATCATTTACGTAGGCATATCTCAGGCAGTGTTTTCTTGCTCTTTGAGTTAGTTGATAGATGTTACAGGGAGGTGGAAAACATAGTAAGGAGACTTCCAATCTTGGTTCTGATAAATCACAGGGCAAGAAAGCTTTTGCACCTATAAATGGGTTTTTTATAGATCTGTAATTTTCACACTTTGTAGATCATCAGGAAACTTTGCCAATGAAATCTTATATGGAACCCCAATATACTACATAAAGGGAATTGTGCATAAAGCCAAAGGTTTCCCATTGCCCCTTGTGAAACCCCATAATACCAAGGGAGATGGCATGAGAACCAGAGGGTTATATCAATTCTAACTTTGTTCTAGACTGAAAATTTATTTTTTCTAAGATTAATCAAATACAATGCTAAATACTAGCAAACCCATTTCTAAAAGAGATTTCTAATTCCAGGTCCCAAAAATGGCCACACCTTTGTATCTGTCCCATCCCACAAGTTCTTCTGACAGTGAGGCCAACATTTGTTCTATTAGAAGTGGGGTCTGTCTTCCCCTCTCTTGAATATGGGGATGGACTGGTGACGGCCCTGACTAACATGAGAAGTATTCATATGTGACTGCTGGGTTATAAAAACAGTAGTTTCTATTTCTGTCATTTTTGAAACCCTTGCCCTTGAACTCTAGCCGTCACGCTGTGAGGAAGCCCAGTCTACACGAAGAGACCATGGATGAGTATTCCTGTCTCCATCTCCAGTTGGCCCTCTAGGAAACCTCCAGCATCAAGCACCAGGCATGTGAAAAAATGGAACTTTAGATGATTTCATCCAAAAGAGCACCAACTCAAGCCAGCAATGTCAGCCTTTTTTTTTTTTTTCTTTCAATAGCTTAGGTGCATTTTATTGGTTTTCTTTCAGAATCCTTCTACAAAACAGCAAAGTTAAAACCAAGAGGTTTTAACTGGCAAGAAGACAAGGTCCCCCCTCTTACCGAGAGACCACCCCACCCCCTGTTCCCAGCTGTGTCACTGTTGCAGCCCATCGGGTGAAGGGCTCCTACTTTCATCCCCCACCAAGCCGAAAAGGAAAAATATCTACTCCCCAGCCCCACACGTTAATCCTGGTTGCAGGTGGCCCTGGTGAGAATTGTTGGGATCCAATAGGTTTCCTGAATCCCAGAAGGCCATGGCCAGGGCGCAGTCCAAGGAGAACTTCATCCTCATGCCACCTAGGAACACCTCATGCTGCGTGCCACCTAGGAACACTTTTGCGCCCAGCACCTTACTCCAGAGGCCAGCTGCATACTGTCAGGCCAGGTAGGACCAGAGCTTGAGGCCTTAGCTGGCATTTGGTGCAGGTAAACGCAGCCAGGCTTGACGGGGCAGCAGCTCTGTCTCCCCATGAAGAACCAGCATCTGATCTGGCTGGTCCACGCCTTGCTTCTTGGTCTGCTTGCTCACCCAGAATTTGTGGGGGATGATGTGGCGGGAATGGACCCTGCCCTGAGGACAGGCTTAATGACATCCAGTGGGAAGTTCTGTCTGCTCTTCTGCCAGGTGCCTGAGTAGCCAGGCAGTGGGCGTGAAAGCCGTTGGTCAGGATGTATCTGGACTGTCCAACTCCTTGTCCACGGTGGTGTCACACACATCCTTCCAGCTGTCCTGCTAACTCCCAAGGTACAGGCTCTGAATTGGGGCTAGGGGCTACTTGGTCAGGGTCTGATTTAGGCTAAGACTCCTGGGAGTAACCATGATTCCCATCTGCAGATGGAGAGGGAACTTCCAGGAACAGCCCCCTCCTCACCCTTGCTGACCTGCCCCTCCAGACCAGGTTCTTTGCCCCACAGGCCCTGGCTCAGTCCTAACACACAGCCACAGAGGGAAGGTAGGTGGGCTCGGAGCCCCTGTGGGTCAGGGCAAGAGGACACGTGGCTCCAAATTTTGGCGGCTCCGCATCAGTTGGCCGGAGGGCTGTGAATGCCAATAGCTGCATTGATCTCTGTGGAAGCAGAAGCCCTGATAGAAGTTTCTGAAGGTCTGGAACACTTTCCCCTGGTGAGCAAAGCTTGACCCCTAGTGCAGGCCCCACGGGCAAAGTTCCTGCATGGCCACTGCTCTCCCACCATGGCCTCTGCCATCTGTCCTTGCAGGCTCCGTCCCAGCTCAGCCGTTAGTGAGAATCCTTCTTTCCTCTTAATGTATATTTTAAAATATATTTTAATATTTCTTATCACCAGGATTAGTTATCTGTCACTGCATAACAAATTATCATAGAGTTTCTTTGGGTGAGAGATTCTAAATGGGTTCATCTAAAAGGAATGACTTTTAGGAAGTCATTCCTCCAGGAAGTCTGGAAGACTTGAGAGCTAGGGACTGCAATCTTGTGAAGGTTCATGTACTTCAGAAACCCAAATGCCCCATCACTTTCTGAAGCTAATCAAGCTCCAAGTCAAGGAGCAACGTCAGTCTCCTTTTCTTATCAATGAAGTATAATACTGTTGATGTTCATTCTGTGGTAGAACATATCAGCACTTTGTTCCTTTTTATTGTTGAGGAATTTTTTATTGTATGCCTATGTAATACGTATCCACTCATAGAAAAATGGACCTTAGAATTATTTCCAGTTTTGGACTATATGCATACAGGTTTTTTTAGGCAGACATTTATTTCATTCTCTTGGATAGATACCTAGGAGTAGAATTATTGGATTAAATTTTGTGTATAATGTTTAAAGAAAGTTCCAGCCTCTTTTCTAGAGTGACCATACAATTTTATATTTCCAACAGCAATCTTTTTCATCAGCAGTACATTTTATTTCTTTGAGCAATGATTTGTGAATTTTGGTTTATTAGTACTGCATTTATTTTGCTAAATTTATTCCTACATATTTTATTATATTTGATTCTATTGTGAATTGAATTATTTTTCTTAATTTCATTTTCAGTTTGCTTTTTGCTAACATATATAGTTGCCCTTTTTTTTTATTGCTCTCTTACCCCATGACCTTGACAAACTCCTTTATTATATTTATTAGTTTCTTTAATTTTATAGGATTTCCTACCTATAGTATCATGCTGTTTTTGAACAAAACTAGATTTCTTTCTTTCCAATCTGGATACTTTTAGTTGTTTTCAAGTTTATTTTCATTTGAATGCACTGGATAAACTCTCAAGTACAATGCTGAACAAGTAACGAGAACAGACGTTCTTGCCTAATATTAGAATACATTGTCTTTGATCATTGAGTATGATGGTAGCTACAGGTTTCTTGTAGATAGACTATGTCAGGTTGAAGATGTTGCCTTCAATTCATTATTTGTTGAGAGTTTTTGTTTCTGTTTTAATCATAAGCAAGCGTCGGATTTTGTTAAATGCTAATTCTGAGTTTATTGAGATGGCAATGTGACTTTTTTATTCTTTCTTTTAATAATGTATTATATATTGATTATTCTTGGACATTAAACTAACCTTGCTTCCCTAGGATAAATGCCATTGTGTGTTAGTATAATAATAATATTCTGAAATGAGTTTGCTGCTATTTAAGAAAATTTCACAACTATGTTCATAGTGACATTAGCTGATTCTTTTGTTTCCTTGTGATGTTTTCAGTTGGCTTTGATATCAGAATACATAGAACAAGCTAATGAGTGTTTCCTCATCTATTATTCAACCAACATTCCTTTTGATGCTGCAGGAAGAAAAGCTTGTTTATTTTTTCTTTCTTATTTTTATCACTAGCAAGTAATTTTTTTTTTGAATCCTCACCCAAGGATATGTTTTTCATTGACTCTAGAGAGAGAAGAGATATATAGAGAGAAACATAGATGTGAGAGAGAAACATAGATTGGTTGCCTCCGGTACACACCCAGACGGGGATTGAACTCACAACCTGGGCATGTGCCCTGACTGGGAATCAAACCCCGGACCCTTTGGTGCACGAGACAACTCTCTAACCAACTGGGCTCCACTGGCCAGGGCACCAGCAAGTCATGGAAAGCCGTACCCTAGCTTTCCATATTCTCTCTTCTATTTCCTGACATCTGCTATTATAATGTTTATTTATAACAAGCCCTTTCTCTTTCATTTTTGTTGTAATTTATCACCCCTCTTTTCAGGAGGAACCTTTTTGGGAGAGTTACTTAAATATATAGATTATTCTACCCAACACCATTTTAATTATGTGTACCCAACATTAAAAACAACATGTTTTATCCAGTGAAAAGTATCACTGTTGGTGATTGGTTCAACCAACTAACCCTGGTATGGTGGTGACCCTTGTGATAAACGAACAGCTAACTGGTTGGCCTTAGCCTGGGGTGAGTTTCAGGAATAAGCACTGGTGTAGTGCACTGCTAGTGCTCTGACGAGGAAACATCGAAACCCCACTCGTTCATCCCCTTCTCACTTATATTTACATGGCACAGCACCTCCGAGTTTCCCATAAAGAAGGGTCATTGGGATTCCAAATGAAGACTGACTTAAAATATTTTTTGGTGATACTACTTTCAATAAAAGCAGTAACTGACCAGATTTTGTGATCATCCTCTCTCTTTTTATATTTTCAACAGGTAACACATTATTAACCAGCAAAGTCAACATATTGATTAATGTCCTAGATGTCAATGAATTTCCACCAGAAATAGCTGTGCCATATGAAACGTCTGTGTGTGAAAATGCCAAATCAGGACAGGTATGTTATCGATATTATTAATTATGAGTATATGAAGACCCATTGTATGCATGTGCTTTAGGTTATACATCATACGCATGAATATGAACACGCACACACACTATATATACATATAGTTTCTTTTTCCTGGATCATGTGTCTTAATTAAAGAAACCATACAATTTGGTAAACCCATAAATTAATGGCACATGTGTAAATGTGGAGCGAATACCACAGGGAATAAAGTTATGATGGTCTAGTGAACATTCGTTGTGTAACCAAAAGGTCTAGGTTTTGCAGAATCTGCTATGTTCTCCATTTCTTCACTGTAAAATTTTTAAAGAACTTGTAACCATAAACCCATAAGCAAACACCTGTAGAGTGTGTCTTTCTATAGTATTTCTAGCTTTGCTCACATGCATTTATGAAAGGGGGTACTGAAAATCTTTTAAGCTCATGAAAATGTAAAGCTTCTTTCTCTGGTGACTTGGGGAAGAATATCTGGATTATTCAAAATATCTGAATCCAGTTTTCCTTAGTCAGTATTGCTGTAGTGGGGAGCGGTCATGAGAGAAGGCCACATAGCTATTGAAAGTTACTGTCCAAGTCCTAGGATTTATGTGTGGGTGGTTGGTGGGCAGCTAGTTTTTTTCTCTACCCTGTTATCAATGAAAGAATGAGTGAATGAATGAATAAAATAAAATGAGTTTCAGTCATAAGCAAATAGAGTGTTTTATGCAAAAAAATTAAAAGATTAAATCAATCTGTGCACCTAGATTACAAAAGAAAAAAATATGTCAGTATGCTTTAATTTGCTGTATATTTCAAATACTCAAAACCGTTCTGATTTGCTTATTTATGTAGTGAATTATCAATTTCACAGTTGGGCTCTCAGAAGTAATTTTAATCTCCAAATTCTTAAAGGCATCTTAATGAAGTATCAGAATTTTAACTACGATAAACACAATGGGGACAATTTAGGAAAAATTTTGAAACTGGATGAAGACTGCTTCCTTTTTAAAAAACTTTATGAAAAAAAACTTGTACTTTTACCCATTGGAGGAAAACAAACATAACAACCAGAACAGATGTGCATCCTCTGTATCTCTCTCATCATTTTATTTATTTATGAAAGTAAAACTCATTCTCACAAAATATGCTGAAAACTTGCTAATGCAAGGGTTTTTAAACACTCGCAGATTTTGTTTCCAGTAAGCATTTTCATATTTAGGTTAAAACACACTTATTTCATCTAATTTAAAATGCAAGCAAGTGCATTTTAATTTTATTTTGCTTATTGGTGAGAATATTCAGTGCTATTAAGCATTTGAGTTATGCAGATATCAATTTGGAGTTAATGCATACCCTATAAATGTTTATCTGTTTATAAAAATTGCTTGTAGCCCCACCGGCATGGCTCCTGATCCCAGGAGGTCAGGGATCCGCTCCCGGCCACGGCACATGCCAGGGTTGCAGGCTCAATCCCCGGTAGGGGGCACCAGGGCCATGTGGGGGCAGCAGATCAATGACTCTCTCATCATTGACGTTTCTATCTCTCCCTCCCTCACTCTTCCTCTCTCTGAAATCAGTAAATAAAATTATTTGTAAATAATTTTTCCACTGATACGGACCCTCATTGTACCAGTTCTGTCTACTTGCATGCTGCATGAAATAAACTTTTTAGCCTGGTATGTAAAGTTCCTTTTGAAGCTGATGACTGACTTCAAGTTTCATCTGCATGTTGTTTCAGATCATTCAGACAGTCAGCGCTGCAGACCGAGATCTCTCCCCTGCTGGGCAGCAGTTCTCCTTTAGATTATCACCCGAAGCTGCCATCAATCCAAATTTTACAGTCCGTGACTTCAGAAGTAAGTTTAACCACACGAAAATGTACCTGTTAACATGTAACTTTGTAAAAGGACACAAAGGTAGAAATCAATGCTTTTCCTAAAAGCACTCAAATTCATAAAATATGGAAATCCATATATGAGAAATACAAAATTCTATAGTTAGCAGTAAATAAAATATTTACCCTCTATACATTGCATCTAATGAGGCAAATTACTTCCATTTAGAATGTGGATAGTCCCTTAATGAGTCAAGTAAAAAAAAGAAAAAATAAAGGCTATCTGGGAAACAGAATGCTTTCTCTGTTTTACATATATCATTTGTTCCATGTGCATGTGTCTTGTACATGCAAATAGGTAACTTTTTAATAACTTTTATTTGCATAACACATGGTAAAGCACAAGTTAAAAATAGAAGCTTTGTCATTAGAATGTCTACATAAATGGTAGACACTTAATGTGTTATTTTATACTAAATGTCAAGATCCTGGTATTTATATTAAATACAATAATGTATTCACATCCTTTAACGCACTGCCCAAACATACTACCTTCAGGATCATTCTGCTACCACCTGTGGCATCATGTCTACACTTCACGTTCCCACCACCACCGCTCCCATCACCACCACCACTACTCCCATCACCACCACCACTATTACTACTAATTATACTGTCATATCTGCTACCGTTACAACCACTTTGAAAATATACATGACACTGGATTAGAACTATTAAGGCTAACATACTGCTCAGTGGTTCTGACTTTATTTGTTCTGTGACTTTGGGTATTTTATCTTTTCTAAGTTTCCATAGTGTTAAAAATGGTGATTAAAAACACTTGAGTTTTTTGCAACAACTAAACACAATGTAAGGAGATGTTGATGATGGTGAATGATTAAAGTCAAAGGATGTTTTGAGAAAACAGCTTGCTGAAAATACTTAGGGGGTAGAAATAAGAATCCCCACATTTTTGTCACAGAAGGAAATTCAGTAGTATTTTCTGCATCATATAGTGAAATGTGAGGGATGGCTATACATGAAACAGAGCCCCAAATATAAAGGGCCGGATAAGTAGAGAGAACACATATTTTATCATGAAAACTGGAGCACTTTGGAGAGTAGAAGTGAACAATATTAGTAATTTTAACTTAGAGCAGCATACACAAATTAGAGTGAAGACAAACCAGACAGGGTCATCCTATATGTAAGCCATTTAAAGAGATTGTAACTTACATACAATGACTTGAGAAGTCTTTGAAAGGTTTAAGCAAGAGTATACCGTGTTCAGATTTGCATTTAGGAAGACCCATTTGGAAACNTGACTTGAGAAGTCTTTGAAAGGTTTAAGCAAGAGTATACCGTGTTCAGAGTTGCATTTAGGAAGACCCATTTGGAAACAGAGTGGAAAAGACTCTACAGGGATATAAGACTGGTTTTTATATTATTGCAAAAATTGGGTGAAAGAATCTTAGATTAGGGTAATGGGTGTGAGAATAAGAGATAAGTGGGCAGAGATTGAATAAATATGGCTTAAAGCTAGATCCTCTAGATTTTATATGTAAGGATGACAGAGAAGAAGACTAATTGGACTTTGAGATCATTGACTTGGACAGCTAGGTAAATGGTCACATCGTTCAGTAACAGAGGTATTGACTGTTTTCCACCACTGATTCCTTGCTGGGAAACCTCTATCTAGTTAGCTGTGATCATATGAAGCAGATCACCTTGCCTCACACAGTGTTTCCTCACAGTCTGAATGTGCCACTCATATGCCTTTTACCATATTACCTCTTTTATCTTGTTATATTGTAACTGTAAGCTTTTTGGAAGTGGATAGGAACTTTATTTTTTATCTCACATAGTTTATATTTACCCTTTTGTTGTGTGATAACATTAATGTTCTATTTCTTTAGCAATTTTAATTACACCCTATAAAGTTATCAACTGTAGCTCCCATGCTATACATTAGAAGGTCAGACTTACTCACCTTCAGCCTGAGAGCTTGTGCCTCTTCCTGTTTTACCCACTGCCTTCCAGGCCCTGGAGGTNGCTTGTGCCTCTTCCTGTTTTACCCACCACCTTCCAGGCCCTGGAGGCCACTTTTCTACTCTCTGCATCTATGAATCCCAACTTTTTTTAAATTCCACACAGACCTCTTGTTTTGTAAGCCATCCTATATTCTTGCTAAATAGCAAATTTAATTCTTATGCCAGAGAAGATTAATGTTTCCTCTTTCCCTAACGATTATTTGGATTATATTTTGGCAGCTTTCATGATAAAAGAATTAAAATATGACGTATTTTACTGATTCAAGAAGAGCTCTCTACTATTTAACAAACAATCTACTTTGAGATGAAGCTCGTGGTAACCACCTTATCATAAATGTCCTGTTTTGTAGACAACACAGCTGGAATTGAAGCCAGAAGAAATGGATACAGCCGGAGGCAGCAAGAGTTGTATTTCCTCCCTGTTGTAATAGAAGACAGCAGTTACCCTGTCCAGAGCAGCACTAACACAATGACCATTCGCGTTTGTAGATGTGACTCTGATGGTACCATCCTGTCTTGTAATGTGGAAGCAGTTTTTCTACCTGTAGGACTCAGCACTGGGGCTTTGATTGCAATCCTGCTCTGCATTGTTATACTCTTAGGTTGGTTTCAATATGGATCATCCCTCCCTCCCCTTCCCC